TTTTCTTTACTCGCGATGGCAACTTCGCATAGGACGATAAACCGGTGGGAATGATTCCCCCAACCGCCCCCGTTCCTGATCTTGGCACTTTCTTCACTGCTGCGATTTATTTCGTCCCGCTTTGCCAAAGGGGGGAAGAGTCGCATCGTCCTCTGGGCCATTTCACGGGACAGCAATTACTACGTTGATTTCGTTCCTTCATCAGGTTGTATATTAAGGCTGCTTTGCAACGGGGGGGAGAGTGCCAACATGGTAGGAATTGTCGACATGGGGGGAAGTGCCAATGGAGCGGGCTCCATTCATCTCGTGCGCAGATCGGCAAAGAAAAAATAAAAAAGTTTTTCACACCGCTACAGTCAGTTCTGCTTCTTTACTTTGAGGTGATCCGCTCACCCCCCCATTTCTTTGGGATTCTTTTCTCCCACTGTGCTTCGCGAAGGGGGAGGAGCGGCACCCTGTTACAACGGGTGAGAAGCCGCAATGGAGTAACTACTCAGGTGAAGCCTGCTCGGCAAGGGAACGGACCGCACAGAGAAACATAGCAATGTTCCCTCACAGTGGCATCCAACCGTTCACACCGCTTCTCATCCGTTCACCCCACTTCCCAACCCTTCACACCAGTTCCTATCTCCGCAAAATGCCTCGCGCACCCCTGGCGCTGCGCTTGTGTGTGCTCTGCGCACTCCTTCCCTTGTTGGTGCACCCAAGAGGGAGGAACCCTCACACACACGAGGTATCCCTTCTGAAGGCCCTCCACAGGAGGGGCAATCAACCCATCAGCAAGCTGAGGGCCGCTCCAAGTCAACGGATACACCCTCTGCCGGAACCTCCGCCGTCGCTCCAGACATTTGACCACCCCCATAATGGAGGTAACAGAACTAAACTGTTTTACCTCTGTGCAGCGCTGAAGAAGCTTGGAAGACTCCGCATTGTTCTGAGGGGACGTTCTAATTCTGCGGGTGTGTCGAAAAATGGGGGTGAGATGAAGGACGGAGTGGACCCATCCCCTCGGATTCCCCCTCCCAAACGAGGCGTCCAAATGGGTCAACAGGAGGACGCTCTAGGGGAACCCCCCAATAAGCCGAATCGCACTGCCAAGATTGCCCCACGTGAAAGCGAAACAAACAAAGGAGAAACCAGACCGCTCGAGTCGGAAACTCCCCGGGGGGGCCAACCCAACTCCGTCGACTTTTATATAAGCCTTTACAAAGATCATCTTCTCAAACGGCACAGCAAAATAATGGAGCTGTCCCCCCCAAGGCAAAGCGAACAGACGGAAAGGAAAAGAAAAAAAGAAGCCACCCTTGATGATATCCTATACGGGGGTCTTCTAAATATCTACAAGCCTGTAAATATGTACTCTATGAAAGTCTGCCAGAGGGTCAAACAGGTCCTTAGAGAGCACTTCAAACATGTGAGCCAGACAAACTTAAACTTCAAAGTGGGACATGGAGGGACATTAGATCCTTTCGCTGAGGGGGTCCTAGTCATCGGCATACAGAAGGGAACCAAGCAGCTCATTGATTTTTTAAAATGCTACAAAAAGTATTTAGCCTTAGGCCTCTTCGGCTTGGAGACAGACACACTGGACCGGGAAGGAACAGTAGTAAAGACAAGCAGCCAATTTGTGAAAGGGACCTCTCACTTGGGTACCACCACCCATGATGAACGTGCATCACAAGAAAATATTACTCTCGCTCTGAGTAAATTTATTGGACATATCGATCAAACCCCGCCACTGTACTCCGCCAAGCGGGTCGACGGAATGAGGCTCTACGAATACGCTCGAAGAAAAATTGCTGTTCATATCAAGCCAAATAAAGTACACATTCAGGATTTAAAATACTTAAACCAAGTGGACCTCCCCTTCTTCGACTTGGAAATCAAATGCTCTGGCGGCACGTATATACGAAGTCTCGTGCGCGATTTTGCACACGCACTGAACACGCATGCCACGTTAATTAAGCTTATTCGTATCCAACAGGGGGGGAATTTTCTATATGAGCACTCTTTACACTACGATGATATAAACATGGAGAATGTTAAGAGGCACTTGATCAAGCTGTAGAAGAAAACAAGGGCCTCCTCGGGGGGAGGGATGTGCACGCGCGAAGTGGGGCGACTGCATATAGCGCGATTTTTTTTTTTTTTTTCGAAAAGTGTCACCTGCACATGGTCATACACATCCCGGATGTACTCACATAGGAGGTTTTATTCCTCCGTTAGGGAGATCACAGATGAAGGAACCGTCCCCTCCCCTCCTGTGAGGCGCTGTGACCTTCACAGAAGGAAGAAGCAGCCAAACAAAATACCCCACTGGAGGAGATTCCACACCTGTGGGTGGGCTCTATATACACAAGGCGAAAGATCACACCGAAAACACACCACGCTTTTCATGTCAGCTAGGCAAGTCTACCTCCTGGCTGACATGAACAGACAAAGTGAAACCGTTTAGAGTCCCACTCCTTGTTAGTTCCGTCCACCGAGACGAACAAACAGAGCTAAAATTAAGATGGTGAAAATCGGCAAAAAGCTGAAAGGTTTTGACGAGGGGCTACATAGACATGAGACACACATAGGGGGGGAAGGGACCCAGGAGAAAGACACACAATTGAGGAACGGATCCAAAGAAGCAACTGGTCAAGAGTTCATCACCCTCCTTGGCGATAATGTCGGAGAACATCCCTCCATAGAAGCAATATATGGGCGAGGACCACTCGAAGACATCGTTTCAAATGTTTGCAGTAGCAATGTAGACCAGGAAGACATAGACGCGTACCTCAAACGCAGTGACACGTCCACCCTTTTAACACTCCTTTTGTACAAAGTTTTAATAACGAGGCCAAAAAATGTAGTCGATTATATTACGGACGAGTTAGCCATTCTGCTCAACCATGAACCAGAAATAAAAGAAACAGAAAAGGACGGCGACGTTGGAAGGGACTCATCCAATAGGATTCCATTCAAAGACCAGATGGACAGGAAATCCAGCGCGCTAGGCGAAACCGATTTCTCCGTAAAGTGCACCCCACCCCAGTTAATAAACCATAAAACATTCCTTGGGGGCAGTTTTATTACCCTGGACGATTTATTCGACGCAGTGAAGGTCATCAAAATTGAAAACTGCGATAAAGTTTACTTTAATAGTTTATTAAAAATTCTGCGCCCCTTCGAAAATGCTCAGAATAGGGACATCCTCCTCAAGGAGAATGTGCAGCCCAACGAGTGTATACCGCTCAATTGGGCTCTCTACCTCACCACCACTTTTTACAACAACTTTATTGGTGGTGCGTCCGGTGTGTGACAGGGTCTCTCCATTTCTTCCGCGACTCCAGGTTGCCCCCTTCCTGATGACCCTAACGAACGTCTTACTGACTCAGCTGTGTATTTTTTTTTATTCTGTCAGTTGGCTAGCCATATTGTGTATTTTCTTTTTATTGCTCTATCTGGCTAGACAAGCTGTGTATTTTTTTTTATAGTCCCATTTGGTTACCCAAACTGTGTATTATTTTTTCCCTCATTTGCTTAGCTGGGGAATAACAATTTGGAAATTTTTTTGTTTTGCCTGACTGTGCAATAAACCATTCATTTTATCATTTCCTTTTTCTTCGCCCCTGGGGAGTTATCCCCGGCGAGTCCCTAGTTCATGGTGGCACACTCTTGGAAGCTTCTTTACCATGATGTTCTCGGTAGCGGTGTTCCTTTATCCAACTTTGCGGTAGGAAGAAAAACAAAAAACGACATCGCAACGATTATGTGCGCGTTTTCCTTACCGGCCACATGATAGCCATGGTACGTGCTGTGTAGAGGGAACAAAATTGCAACGCGCCCCACCAGAAGCAGACGTGGACGAACGCACGAGGACGCACAGGTGCAGGCTCTACCCAGCGGCAGAATCGCAGAGCAGCACCCCCCAACGGGCAGCTACGCATCGTCCTTCAACTTGTCCATAATTTTTTGCAGCGAAATTTTTGTCTGCGGCTTCGGGTCAGGCGGCAAAAACTGCATTTGTAGCCTAGAGAGGGGAAAAAGAGAAGGAAGCTCAATATGTCAAATGGATCAAAGCCTAAGCACGCAGAAATGCCACTAAACAACACAGCACCTGAGCAAACGGGAAGGAATACAGACGGAAGCAACACAATCGCGCTGCCACACAAACGGGCTGCGACACAAACGCGCTTCCATACAAACTCACTTGCTTAGCGACTCCCTCGTGTTGTTTTCACTCCTCAAACTTCGCAAACTGCGTAGGGTGGCGGAGTTGTGCCCCTTCTGCTCGCTCGAATGGGTATCCTGTCGCAACTTTGGCCGATTAGCCAAACCCAAGTCAGGCGGCATCATCATGTACTCCATGGGTTTACTCATCATCTGATTCATCAGGGTGTCACAACTTCCATTCTGCTCCCACTCGGCTCCTTCGTTTTCCCCCTGCACATTCACATCATTCGTTCGCTTGAACAAGGGAGTCAACTTTGCACACTGGGAATGATTTAAATCGTCCCCCCTCTGCATTTCTTTGTCCTCCAAATGGTCAATGTAGATATGCTCATCACTTCCATGATTTGTTGCTCTATTTTGAAAAAATTTCTCGATGATAGCATTTGTGCTGACTCGACTTTCTTGCTTCGTTTCGCTTGCACACAGGTGTTCGTCGTTGCTATCCGGCTCATCACAAGGGGGATTCTTCAAAGCGTCTCCCTGGGAGAGATTGTCTAAGCAATGTTCGTAATCGTTGTAAAGGTATTCCTCTTCCCAGTGGGCATCTCTCTTCAAATGGGGTTTGCGCTGTTGTCTGTTTTGGGCCTTCTCAATGTCTTCGATTCCACCCTTCTCTGAATCTTCACCCTTGAAGTGAGACAGTTTGGAGGAGAACATTTCACTTGTGTAGTTTCTCCCGCTGCTTCCATGTAAACACCCGCCATAGAGGCTCTCTTCCGATGAGAAGGTCCCATTCGCACTGATGCTCTTCCTTAGTGGATCCCGGTCACAGTTATCCTCTCTCGCGTCTCCATTCGAATGGTCATCGCGCATGCTATTACGCGAGCTGCTCAGGAAATGGACCCCATCAGGGTCGCCATCACGATCATCATCGCGGCCGTTGCACACGAAGCGACTGGACACTCCTTCCCTCCTTTCCAACTGCGCAGCTACCCCCCAGTTCATGTCCTCATTGCTCCTCGTGTCCCGCAATTTCCTTTTAATAATTGGATGGTTATCCCTGAGGAGGAGGTTGCTCTGGTTGCTCTGAAGATTGTCTTTCTTCTCCACAGCGGAGTCGCAGAAGGTCCTCTCCACTGCATCCCCATCCGATGTGAACTCCTTCTCATTGGGGTCAAAAGGGGTAACTTGCTCATCCATCCTCCTGCTTGACAGTTCCTCTGTTTGTTCCTCCTCCTCTTCTTCTTCTTCTTCCCCCCCGAGGGTCCTAACACTGTATGCTGCTCCCCTCATGGTGATGTCCGGTTGGCTTCCCATACGATCGGGAGAAGCGTCTCCAATCTGGTCAACTCTGGAGAATTGATCACTAGATCTCCAATTCTCCACTGTGAGGGGAGGCACTTCTGAGGGGGAACATACACTGCTCATTTTTCCGTGTCCTCTCAACGGGAGTGCGCCGTGCTTCGGTTGGCCTACCTCGTGGGGGAAGTCCCCCCAGTGGAGGGGCTCTTGTGGGTAGGGGGGAGCGTGCCCTTTCGGGAAGGTTCCATCAGGGGGGGCATTCCGGTTCACCATGTGCGGCGGTTCCAGCTGTTGCAGCGTTCCAGTTGTCCTTTCCGCCCTCTCCTCTGCATGATCTGTCCCCTCTAGCTGCCCTTCCCGGGGGCACTTCAAAATCTGATTAAAAATGACGATGCTCTTTCCCCTCTTAACGATGAACGCGTTGGCTGCATCGTTTCCGTATCTGCCGCAGTAATTGGTGGCGGAGAACAGAGTGAGTAGACGCCGACTATAGCTGTATCTGTATCCCTCCTGCACACACTCATGTCCTCTAATGACCATCTTCAGTTTGTTGTTCTTCAAAAAAGAAGACAATCTCCGCTGACCAAACTTGAGAGTGATCTTCCCTCGACTGGAAGGGATAATGTCCTCCCCTAGTTTTAATTTTTCCAAAAGGAGCATGTCTTGTTCATCGTCATAATTAATCGGATCAGACCACAGGGTGTCGATAATGATCTTCTGAAGACGCTCATAGTTACCGCTACGGCTATCGCTACCGTTACCGTTGCTACTGCTCGTCCTGTCGACAAACTGCGGGACGACAATCGGCTTGTGCACGTCTGCAAAGTCTTCTACGCTATAGAGGCTGTCCCCGATGCCTGCATGTACACACAGGATGTTTCCACCTAGTAACACGGAGAGGGGTAAGAACTCCAGCACATCATTAATCCGATTGAATAGCTCATATGCATGAGCTTGTATCACTTCCCCCTGGTATCTTATCAATCCTGTTGTCTTGATATTTCTCTCCATCTTGTTCTCTATATCTGCATAGAACCCATGAACATAGTTAAACAACCTCTCCTCATGGTTCCCCCTCAGAAGATATATATGCTTTGGGAAAAGGATCTTCAGACTGAGCAGCAGACAAATGACCTCTAGTGAATGCTTCCCCCTATTTATGTAATTTCCCAGGAAAACATATTTCACGTCCTTATCGTTTCCATCCATGTATGGAAGAGTCTCCTTTGCTTTCCCCCCCCAGGAAGACACTCCATTTGTCGTGGCTACCTCCTCCACGGTTAGCCACTCGTTCGTTTCTCCATGCAAAGGCCAATTGTACATATTAAAAAAGTCCAACAGATCGAAAATGTTCCCATGTAGATCTCCAAATACCTTGCATGGGAGATCCACGTACTCAATTGAATCCTCTCCCTTCAACACCTTCGCGGCTTCATCACAAAGAAGGATGATGTCGTTGTAGTTACACGCCGCTGTGCAGACGGTGTCGAACTTCCCATTGTACTTCTCTCTCTTCTTTTTGTAACTCACTTTGTAAAAGGTCGTGAAGATCTTAAATGCTACGTCCTGGTTCAGTCCAAACAATTTTGTCCTGTCCGTTAGGTACTTCTTTCTGTACGCCTTAACTATTTCTTTAATCTTTTCCACGCAGCTTCTCCAACTGCGTTGGGGGGTCATGCGACTGGCACGCTGCTCCTCATGAGTTGGATTCTCCTTCTTGGCCATCTCCTCCTTGTGTATGGGATTTTCCTTATGGGGGCGCTCCTCGTTATGGCCGCCCTCCTCCTCGTGACCTCCTCCGAAATGTGGTATGCTTTCGCTGCTGCTCGGCCTGTCTGGTCTCTCCCCGGGGGGGACCATTAGCTGGACATTCGCCTCACTGCCTGACACGCCGCACTCTTTCATTTTGTCTTTTTCTTCCTCGTCAACCTTCTTGTCCCCTTTTTCCTCGCTATTCAGGTCGATGCCCTTTGGGGTCTCATTCGAGTCGCAACAGGGTGGTTCCTCCACCGCTTCCCCCGCAATCTCCGATTGTTCCTCTGATGGTTCCTCTGATGGTTCCTCTGCTGGTTCCCCTGATGATTCCCCTGATTGTTCCTCAATTCGCTCCTCGGATTTCTCTTCCTCTCTATTCTTCGAACTCCCCGTGGAATCCGCCGCTTCCCTCTGCACTAACTCCTCAGGGTCATCGTCCCCCTTAATTGAAGTAGCGCTTATATGCCGGGCCTCCTCCGAATTGGGATCCCCCGTGGTAGACTGTCCACTGAATTCTGCAGAGCTGCACTTATGCACGTTGCAGCCTTTCAACTGCGTCCCATCCAAGGGGTCCACACCCTCTTCGTCCTGGCTTGTCCCCTCCGCAGGGTCGAGACTCTCTTCCCTTTGCTGACACTTCTCCCCGTCGATTGGTCCATTCAACTGCACACTGGCTGAATTAGTCGTAACCTCTGCGTCAACCGACATGGGGGGGCTCCTTCCCCCCCCGTAGGTACACAGAAAGTACGTCTTCACTACATTGGCCACGTCGCAGTTGGATCTGAGGAGGTTCTGCGTCCCCTCAACTTTCCTGTTCAGCACAAGGCGGTAAAAATGATCGTAGCTAACCTTCTCACACTTCCTCATCAGTTTGTCCCGCTCGACAGCCACAAATTTCTTCATCTTCTTCTTGTTTCCCTTAAGTGCCATGTGCTTCAGATTTTTCGATAGCTCATACAGATGGTAGAGGAAAACGAACATCTCCTCTCTACTCCAGTAACCATCTCTATCCAGATCGTAGGCCCTAAAGATCAGCTGGTGTCTTAACTTCCCTGTGTCTTTTGTAATGTCGTTTTCCATCTGCGGACTGCAAGCCAGCATGCCGATTAGGAAATCCGTCTCGCTAACGTAGTACCTTCTACATCTATCTAGGCAGTTAAAGATAAAAAGGATAATCTTCTCCGAAGAAAAAACATTTCGGTGAAATTCAAACATGGTCTTAAAACATTTGAAGGAAATGAAATTGGGGTATTCTGTGTGTGCGTACTGATTGAATAAGAACTTGAGGAAGATGATTTTCTCGACAATTCCGTTGCTTTTCTGTGTGTCTTTCTCGGTGTCTTTGTCTGATTCTTTGTCTACCTCTTTGTCTGTGCCTTTCTCTATCTGGGGTACTACTCGCCCAATCAGTTGATCCATGCTGCTGTCGCGCTCTCTCTTGAAGTGTCTTCCGAACGCCTCCTTGTTGTGTCCGTAGGCGTCGAAAAGGAGACTGTACAGCCCGTACCTCTCCACGTGACCCTCCCCGTTGTGCGACGAAATGATGTTCTTCACCAATTTGTTGTGCGAGACCCACTGGGTGAAGTCGCTCTTGTTGTAGGTGCACTGGGTGGAGCGGTCCGCATCCTCCTCACAGGCATCTTTTTCATTGGCGGGAGCCGTCACCCCATTGGTGTCCTTGCTCCACGAGCGCACCGCCTGTCCCTCAGGGGGAATCGAATCCTGATTCTCCAGCCCATCTGAGTAGCCTCCTTCGTGCCACTGGGGCATAACTCCCCTTTGGAGGCCCTCCTGAGATAGCCTTCTAACAGCCGTTTGGCCATACCATTGCGCACCGCTCTCGTAGTTGCTCCCCCCTACTGCCACCACCTCGCAGTGATTGCTATCGCTTCCGGGAAGGAACCCTTCGTTACTACCCCAGGGAAAAATATTCCTCGGAAGGCTCTCCACCGAGGCATCATCAGGGTAGCACCTCCCCTGGGCCATGCCACCATACATAAGGGGGTCAACATCTTTATAGCTATACTCTGAGGTTCTACTCAGGCGACCACTGCTCCACTTGTTAACAAGCCCTGCACCTGCTTCCTTTCCACTTTGATCCCATTTGGTAGAGCCATTTTTTGTTCTTCCATTGACTGGAACCAGAACGACCCCCATCATTCCTCGTGCAGAAGGTCCCACCCTGTCGTATCGGACATTTGGAAGAGTGTAATAATTGAAAGCCTCTCTTGAGGGACTCCCCACTGTTCTTTGGCCCCACCAGGGAGGAAAAACCTCCCGACGTATTTTCGGTTGAGAAGACGCCACAAGATTACCATTCATTAAAGGTGCCCCTTTGGTGTGCTCCATTCCCGCAAGGGGGGGAATCTTCATCTTCCCGGTGTCTTCCCCGTGCTTTTCCCCTGTGTATATTTTTTCCATCATTCGGGGGAAACACCCAGCATGGGATTCCGTCACCGTCTGGGCCCCTTGATTCTTATTAGTCAGTTCGCTTATGCTCCTCCCACTGGGCTTTCCCCTTCGTACGCTCGGACCAATTCCCCTCCCCTCGATGGGATTCCCCATGGGATTCCCTTCCCCGCTCAAATGATACACCTCTGGTGAGGGCGCGGCGGACGAGTTCACCCTTGGGGAGTCCACCCGTGACAAGTACACCCCTGACGAGTCCACAAACGTTCTGTCATCTGGCCATTGCTTCCCATTTTCATACCGATGCAGCAAAGACGCCGAGCCCTTCGCGAGGTTTGCTTGACTACCCCCATCGCAACTTCGTCGCGCCCAATCCGTTTCGTGACTTCCCATTCTTCCCATCTTAAGCGCTGTCAGGTTGTTTATCTGGGCGGTTGGAATGGCTTGGCTCCCATTTGGCATGCCCCCCTTTAGCAGGGCTCCGCTCGCCGACGTGTGGTATCCTCGTGCATATGTATTGGCCGGATAGGGGTGTTGTGGCATGATCACACAGGGATGCCTGGGCAGCGCGTCATAAAGGCTGTCTTTCTTCGTCACGTAGGGACGGTTCGTCCTCGTCTCTGCAAAGTTCCTCATCTTCCTCCCCCCCGAGTTGCTCCCCCTGCAGTAACCCTTTCGGACGGAGCCACCCACCAGATGGTCACTTGCTCCTGGGGGTGTCGCACGCAGGGTGGCACAATGAAGAGTCAGTGCAGCGCTTAACTGGACGAGGTTGTAAAAACAGAAGTAAAAAAAAAAACAAAACAAAAAAAACAAAACAGAAAAAGACAAAAAAAAAAAAAACTAAAATGCATTTATACACCCATCTGTGCGCACATCCACGCACACATTTTCTCCTTTGTGTGCCACTGGGGACTACAATGACGAAAAAGTTTCTGTCCCCCTTGCCACTTCCGCTTTCCTTCCTTTTATCTGAATTGCCAATCCCCCGTACACGCCGCTAAGTTGGGGAGACGCGGAGCAGAAGAGGTGATACAACAAGGGAGGTACAAAAAAAACAACGCTAATAGAGCGAACAAGAAAATGGAGCAAACAAAGTGAACAAAAAAACGAAGCGAACCAATGGATGTAACGAAAAGACGATTCCGACTTTGCTGACGGAAGACAACACACGTCAGCGCAAGGGAAATACGGAAAATAATTCTTCCCCCCATGGAAAAACTGCCCCGCATCGATATACCTACCCAGCACGATTGCATTGCACAGTTACACCGCATACACATCGCATGCGCGCTCTGCCGCCAGACGATGCATTCCTGTGCACGGCTGATTGCCGCGTGTACCACCTCGGAAGGAAATCGCGCGAAAAAGAAAAGCAAAAAAAAAAAAAAGATAAGAAAAGAGAAGAAAAAATAGAAAAAAAGAAAAAAACAAAAAAAGAAAAAAACAAAAAAAGAAAAAAAGAAAAAAACAAAAATCAAATAATATCACATCGCACCGTATCACATGTCGAATAAAACAAGCCGGTTGACTATTCGCCATTTTTTGAAGCCATTTTGGACAACTTTTGGGGGCCCGTCCACCACCTGCTTCTCTTTCCTGTCCAGTGTCCATCGTCAATCATGCGCTAATCGCAAAAAGTGAATTTAAAAAAATTTTTCCATCGAGTGATGTCCGGGTCGATTGGAAGTTATTTTTTGTTTGGCCAAAGGGGGGGTGAAAAAAAAAAAAAAAAGGGAAGAAGGAAGGAGGGAAGGAAAAGAGTAAGTAATAAAGGGAGGATGAATGAAAAAAAGAAGCGGCGGAAACACTAATGAGAAATTATACACAATGGGGAGCGCGTCACGCGAGAGGAGAAGGCAGGCCTGAAAAAATGAAAAGTGTTCCACATGGAGAGAATCGAGGCGGGAATTAGCTGCCACATGAGGCCTGTGGAGCTTTTCGTGGCAGGCAACAAACTGAGGGAAACACGGTAACAAAGACACCTATGCCACCCTTCCAACAGCTACGATTGTCACTCCTCTACCTCGACGAAACCTTCGCCACGTGCACCGACTTCCTGTAGAAATAGTATGATTGTATGTCCAGCAGGAGCAACAGCAGGAGGATGAGCAGGAAGATGTAGAAGCCGGACGATATCGACTGGCACTTCTTCGTTTCCTCATTTAGCGTGTAAAAGTACCATACGGAGCAGTCGGGGTCCACGCAGATATTCAAGGCTGGCTCGTAAAATTGATCCCCTATGCACTTGGCCCTCTGTGTACATCTTTCATTTGTGTAATGGTAATCTCTCTTGTTAGCGAACCCGACTCTGTAATTCTCCTGATCCACCACCACATAGAGGTTATTAATTACGTACGTTCCGAATTTAATTAACGGCTTGGTGGTCCTCCCGCTGTTCTCACTGGACACTCCTTCGTGCACATCGGGAAGTACGCAGAGATAGCCGTCATTCGGACCCTCCTCACTGATAATGAGATTGTCCAGGGGGATATGCACTTCTTGAATGGCCGTCGTCTGTGGGGGAGAGTCTCCAAATGGGGCTTCATTCATACCGCTCCTTCCTCCGATGTTGTTGTCACTCACGATGTCGTTATCGGAAAGGTAAAACTTCAACACAGGAAGTGGCCTCTTTCTTTCCTCCACGGAGCACATCCTCGGCACGGTACTCTCATCAAAGTTAACTTCCTTCCTCTTCGGAATGCACCTCTCGTCATTCTTATTCACGGGTAGGTACTCCATCAAACTCAGCCAGAACATCTTCGGAAGCACCAGACACTTGCTGCTTAGGTCAATAACTCCCTGCCAGTTGCTACTGTATTTGCCAAATATATTATTTCCACACACTTCTAAATTGTAGAGCGTAAACTGCATAAACGAATCGGAGAAAATGCCTCCTCTTTCTCTGGGCTCCGACCATACGATTGGCCCAAAGTTTTTTTTATAATCTCCTATATGTATTTCAGACGCTGTTCCATCCGGTTCCGCTGTTGCATCTGATTTTTTTCTGCCTGCCTTCTTCGGAACAAACCTACCGTAGGATGAATCCCCTTTTTTGGAGTCCTTTTGGCTAGCTAACTCCACGAACGGTTTCACTGATCCTTCGGGCAGATTAACATCCAAGGCGTACAAAGAATTGTTCTTCTCGACGATATTGTTCCACGCACTGACATTCCTGCAGCTGAGTTCTCTTCCGGCCAGCCCCATCATCCCGTCCGTGTCTTTGAATAGGCTCCACCCCTTGTACAGGGTCAGGTCGGTCACCAGCTTTACATCGCTGTTCTGGAAGATGGTGTCGTCCGCGTTGACCCCTTTGTCCCCGTTTGCTCCTTTGGCTTGTCTTGCTTCTTTCGCTTCACCTTCCGCTGTCTCTGCGGCTGTCCCTGTCGCCCTCCCCGCCTTCATCAAATCGACGATCTCCACGTCGTCCGATCCCTCCACGTGGCTCTCCGTGAACTTCAGCGAGTCGTAATACATGCTGGGATAATCTGCCTTGTTTTCCAACATCAAACTGCTATCGCTATAACATTCGTACGGCTTCGACAGGATGGCCGGCAGGCACAGAAGATCGTTATTGCACCAAGTAGAATTCCTAGACGTGTTTGGATCATAACAGATCCGATTCTTCTCCTCATCCTCCTCATCTATGTGGCACGCTTGAGAATCCTTCATAAATACATATATCCCCTCCACTCGACTGTTCAGTGCCAGCTTTAATGCTTGTCCTCCCACTTTTACATTCGTATAGAGATTCTTGTTCGCAGTAAAATGCACATTTAACACCCTTCCTTCGAAGGTATCATCTGCTTTAGGTACCCAAATCCTTTCTCCTTCTAAGTGGTCCTCCTTATCAGACGCGAGCATTCTCCTCATCGTGGTGTACCTCTTGGGGAACATGTCAAAGAAGCTATTAGAGGGATCAAACGGCATTGAAGCTGATTCTTCCATTTCTTTCTTCAATCTCCAGCACCATTTAATCGACTCCTCTTCGTCCTTCCCATATGAAATTGCTGCCCCCTTGGGGATCCCTCCAAGGTACAAGACTTCACTGTCGGGCCATAAAACCCCCTCTCGATGTGCATCCCCTTTCAAATGCGCACATTTCACGTTTTCCGAGTTCTTCATGGACTGCCTAACCTCACCAGGGTGAACATACCAGCTGCTCATGAGCTCGACCTCACTATCGAATTCTTCCCATCCACTTCTGCTGTTCCTACAGGAGAAGTACACCTTCCTGGGAAATCTTTCTCCATTGCTCCTTCTAACCCCTTGGTTGACGCTATGATATATTTGATCATCCTCCTTGGCAGGACTGTCACCTTTCCCCCTAGCGTCTCCCTCCCTGGTTACACCCAAATTCATTCCACTTGAGAGGAAACTTTCCAGCGTGATGATGCTTTCCCCCTGCCCCTTCTTCCCTCCCAGCACTGCGTCATTGTGCTCCGGTCCCCCATAAAGAGGTAGCAACCCCCACAGAAGGAACGGCAGAAGGAGCGGCAGAACAAACCAGCCTCTGTATTTTACATGATTGAAATCCATGAATTCGTCTTACACGTACAGGCATACATACGGACGAACGGACGTACACACATATATATGTGCATCCATAGGGGGGGAAGCAAACCTCGCCGAGTTGCCTCTTCTTCGTGCCTGCCCAACTCCTAGTGGTGTCTTCTTTCTCGCCTGTTCGCACTGCCGTGGAGGGTGTCTCGGGCAGCCCGCAAAGAGCCCGTAAAGTTGCACTTCACAGTGAGTAATCTGGTGTCCCCAGACTTTTTCCTCGCCTTGAAATGCCCCGCCGCAACACTAACGCAGTTATGTCACAGTTATGCTACAATTCTGTCGCAGTTCTATCGAAATCCTTCTCCGCCTTTCACCTTCTTGTGTCAGCTTCTCAAACAGAGCCAAATAAGAAACAAGGAAGGTGAACCAGGAGAAACAGATCAAAAGAAGCCAGGGTGACTAATAAGCACGAGTCGAAGGGGAGCGGAGAAAATCTGTTGATGCGCAAATCAGACCACACCAAAATGAGGAAGTGACCCACTCTAAAAAGCAGTTTGTTCATCCCCGTCGCGTCACGAAAAACTTAAGAAACATGTGTTTCGTCGTCATCCCTTTCCATCCTGTTTCTTTTTTTTTTTTTCCCCGCCATCTGTTGCTTTAAAGAATGCATATAAACTTTGATATATATATATATACATATATATATATTCTTTTTTTTTTTTTTTTTTGGTAAAATTCACCTCCCTGTGGAACAATTTCAAACAAGTTCGAAAATCGCAGGCCAAAAAGAAGAAAAAAGGAGTACCAAGTTGGGAAGGAAAGCCCCCTTCTTTGTCAACTCGTTAGAATAGCGACTCCTCTGATTAGCGACTCCTCTGATTAGCGACTCCTTTGATCGACAACTCTTTTGAGCAGCAGCTCTTTTTCCTTTTGACCAACTTGATCGACCTCGTTTCACTTCTTCGCCCCACAGTGACAGATGCGGGACAGACGCGCGAAGGCGCAACAAAAGCTGGAACATTACCGTATAAGTGTGCATAAATCGAATAGAATGGGGGAGGTTAGCGATGCTGGGAAAGGTCGCCATGTGTTACCGCCCTAAGGAAACAGACCCTTGCAGCGACATATGCCAGAAAAGCAGCTCCTACGGGGAAAACTTATACCTTTGGGAAAAGGGGAGGTGACCAGTCCTTTTACCCTCGCTCCGGTGGATCTTTGAGGATATACGTGCTTGTGTGAACTTTTTTTTTTCGCACCCCTCGGTTCAGAATTCTCAAAACGGTGTGTATAGACGGACTGATGATGTTCAATGGTTAGAGAAAAAAAAAAAGAAAAACAAAGCATCCTGGAGAATGCCTTCCCCTCCGTTTGAATACTCCTTACTTAACGTCGATTTTATTTTTCCTACCGCGCGGTTAACTCAAATTAGTTCCTTGTCCCCAACTAGTGGATTCCTTTTTTTTTTTTTTTTTTTTTTACAAAGAGGAGGCATCCATATGTGTACAATAACCAGGTCCGTGTTCACCAACTGATTGATGGCAGTTGTATGTACCTACACCTCCCAGACATATCGACTCTGAGTATTGTTCTTTATCACCTCCCGCGTCATGCTCTGTCCCTTGGTCCTTTTCAACAGCACACTGTTTATCTCCGCGGGGGGGTTTCCTTCTTTTTCCCTCTGACCGTGCCTTTAAAATACTCAACGTCATCTCGCACGTTTCTGTCCTCTTTCAATTCTGTCATGGCCCAACCCGAAACACTAAAAAGTGTAGAGCAATAAGGCTTCCACAAATAGGTTGTGCAACGAAAACAAGATGCAATTGTCGCTGTCCCCTCCTGTGCGCCATTTTTTTCTTTCTTTTTTTTGTCTCTTCTTTTTTCTTCACGTGGAAAATAGTAAAACCGTATTTTTCCTACATTCAGGAGTGCACACCTTTTTACATTGTTTCTGTACTCCCTAGTTCTTCAAGCTTCCTCCTTTTCCCCCCTTCTTTGTTTATTTCTGATCTTGTTTGTGTTCCTGTTCTTGTTTGTGTTTTCTCTTTTTTTTTTTTTTGCCTGAACAGCAATGATTTCTTCAGCCGTACACAACCTGCCCCAAATGGAGCGACAATTGAAATTAAAATTTTTAAAAAAAAAAAAAAGATTTTTCAAACTTTGTAATCATCCATAAATGGATACACTTGTGTTCTACACATAATGACGAGTTAGGACTTGCGCTCAAAGTATGAATGGTTCTTTTTTATTTTATTTTTCTTTTTTTTTTCATTCCTGCCAGACGTAGATAGAAATTATCTAGTGATGGATGTTCGTTCCCTTGACAAGAGGTTACAACTAATGTTCTTTTCCCTCCTCAGTGGGTGTATTCCTCCGAAATAGGTTTTCAAATCTTTCTTCTCCCCCCAGCGTTGCACAGTTCTGAGCATGTGCCTTTCCTAGCCAAATAGCCTGACCCGTTCATACAATTCCGCGCAGCTGCAAAGAGGACATGGAACACTTAAACACTAAGAAAAGGATAATGGTTACTCGACAGACGCGCTGAGAGTCCTGTGGCATGGAAAAAAGAGAGAAAAAACGACAAAGAGAACGGAAGAGAGAACGAAAAAAAAGAAAAAAATGCCATTATATTCCCTGCAACTCAGCTTAATCAACAAACGTCAGTCATTCCAAACTTCATCAACCCTGTCTTTCACCCCACATATTTTCCCCTTCAACTGTACACATGTAGAGCATGCTCATTATGAGTAACTATTACTACATCTTGAGCAGTGCGAAGATCTATGTGAAGCATTTTAAACGATTGAAATGTTACAAAACAGTAAAAAAATGTAGAAATAGAGAAAACGGTTTTAGTCCTAAAGAAGGAAACTTACGCATCTTGTCCAGAATTGCTAATCGTTCGACATATAGAGACCTTTTGCAAGAAACAAAAAAAAAAAAAAAAATCGCTCATTTCAAGGACAAGAACAGGGAAAGGGAGACACTTACCCATGGAACCAGTGCGAATGACCCTATTCACAATTACCTACTCGCTGCATTTGAAGAAAAGTATAGGGCAATCTTAGGCACACTCTCCGTTGCCAATCTAGATTCCTTGGAAAGTGAACTTCAAGATTTTTATTCCATCGGAAGAATTAACTTAATTGCTGAACATTATAAATCATTTAGCAGACGTTTGAACAGCAATTTTGATTTGCTTTTCAAATAACTACGCAACAAACGTTTCTCATGTTTATGGTCGAAGAGAGGAGGCCCTACAGAGTCCTGATCTGACAACGGAAACCTTCCCCCTTCTCAACAGCACACTAATGCAATGCCGTCCTCCTGGAGGCCAGGGCCCACACATGCATGCGCATATGTAGGAATGTCCCCTATCTGCCGGTATATCCGCACGGACCATATTTCCAACGCGCACAATGCGCCCTTCTGTTATTGCCTCTTGAACTCATACTTCTTGTTCTCGTAAAACAGGTCCGTCTTCGCGCTTCCTAGGTTTACGATTTTGGGGCAGCCGTCTCGCTAATGGAATATAAGAAAGACAAGAGGAAAGAAAAAAAAAAAGAAAAAACCAAATTAATTTGAGTCAAGTTAAGACAACTTAAGTCCAGAAGAATAGAATGTGGTCCATTCCCGTCCTGCGTAATCACAGCGACGTGATAACTTATACACGGGCGCATTTCCGCACATGTGTGCACTCCTTACGTCCTTCTCGCACAGGCAACACTCCTTACAGTAGTACGCGTCCGATATGCCCGTGGCTCCGCAAATGATGCATCTTCCCTGGGGACGGGGGATGGGTGAGACAAATATAAAGAGGCAGTCTCCTATCGGTTGTCTGACCAATATGAGCGCAGGCCGGCAGGGGAGTGCACCCCTACGAATGTGTAACTTTAAGCGGATCTTTCCACGGGAAATCTCCAGATGAGGCACTCTTCTGGGGAGAGCCCTTACCCGTCCCTACCTGGTAACTTCCATAGTTACACTCGTCACATATCCGCACGAGGGTGTAGGGCCTCACATACGAGTCGCAGATGGGGCATTTCCCGTCGCACTTTTCACATAGCCTGCCAATGGCTGCAAGGTTTGAAGGAGGAAACACATAGGAAGAATTAAATTCAAGGGGTTAAAAATGGAAAGAATATGACATCCACGTGGATGAATATGCACGAGGAGGCACATATATCGTCGTAATACGGTAGTGCTGCGAAAAACTTCAGATGTTGAGTAAGGGGGTGTACACTACGCGAATGATCAGAAGGGGGGTTTGGGGGTGTCCGCTCAGCCAAAGTGCCTCCCCGACCCATCCTATAATTGTGGAGCTGCGTTCGTTTCCTTTGTTTCGCTGTTTTGTCGCTTTGTTTTGTTTCGCTATTTTTGTTGTTCCGTTTTCCTGTTATCTTTTTTTTTTTCTCGTGCGACCATTCACTCTATGTTTTACCTATCCCAGGCTGCTTGCGGCACATGATCAGGTCAGGGTCTGCGCGGGGGGTGGGGGGCAAACGACGATGAAAAGTTTATCTGCCCAAAGAGGGTCGCAAAATTTAAAGCGACTTGTCCAATCCAAAGGCACCGTCGTTTGTTCATAACTGCGCAGGAGCTGCTAATCAGTAGGGATTCCCTCATTTTATTATTTTTCTCTTTTTTCTTTTTTCTTACGATGCTTGGCTGCCATTGTTGTTGCGGCGTTGGAGGGGAACAAACACGTTGGCAGGGTAAGTCCGATGTGGTCAGGTCATATTCTCCTTCTGTGTCATTCCGCGTGATTCCACGTGATGGGATTCGCGGCAAACGAAAGGTCGCAACAGACGAAAAGTCTCAGCAGAGGAGAAGTCGCAGGAAACGAAAACTCGCAACAAAGGAGCAGTCCTCACGCGGAATGTATGCTCATACTTATTTGTTCCTATCCTCTTTTTTTCGCAAAAAAAAAGCGGCAGACATTTTTTATTTCCCCTTGACGCCCCGCGACAATGTTGCTACGCACGGCGAAACCGACCTGTGCAAAAATTGCTCCTTCCTTTTGGAAGCGGCTGAGGATGCGGCGACGATGACAAATCGTCCAATTTCCACCAATCAACTGAGACTCCCTTCGTTTCATTTATCGGAACTCAAATGTATGGCTCCCCCCTTGGGGGTACTCCCCCAAAGTGGGTTCATTTCTCCTAGCAAATGCGTCGCGAGTGCTTCCACTTGATGCGTAAGTTCACCGTCATGCAGGGGCGCAGCGCCCTCTTGCCGTAATGAGGGGAAATAGAAAAAGGGGGAACACAAGAGAAGGAAAGGAAAAAAGAGAAATTAAAAGAGGGGGAACAAAAAGAGGAAAAACGGAAAAAAGGAGCCGCAGGCTGCGGTGGCCAGGGGCACGGTGGGGCAAACGGTAGTGAAAAGCAGGAATTGAGGAAAGGAGCCAATGGGAAAAGCGCTTCCGCACTGCACCTCTGCACTATTACACTTCTATACCTCTACACCTCTCCACCGCCGCGCCCCTGCGGCATGCAGCGCACGTCCACCACGTAGTGATAAACACGCGGCGCGTAGGACTTAACGCGCTCCACGTGCAGTATGGAGATGACCCAATTCGTCTTGTGCTCCAGGTAATCCTTCAGGGTCAGCTTAAAAATCTCCAGCAGTACGAACTGAGCGAAGTGGAGACTTTCGGGGACCTTGTTGCCTCTGTAGGGGCTCTTGGCCTTCTTCCCGAATTTGTCTCCATCACCCGAGGTTACCACCTCACCGCGGGGACACGACTTCCCAATGGAGGGGAATGCTTCACTTTGCAGCTTGTCCGCCACGTGGAGCCCACGTCGAACCAACTCAGTCAAGGACAAATCTGTGACAGCAGTCTGGCTAACCCCCTTCACACTGCTCACGTAATCATATGTAGAGACTCGCGAGAAGAACTGCTCTTCGAAAACGTTTTCTCCAACGCCGTGTATGTGGAGTGTACCCCCCACGTTATCGTCTAGAAGTTGAAATGCGTTACACCAGGCTTCTACGCTGTGCGGCAACAAGCCGAGAAAAACACGATGACATCTCCGAACGAGCTGCGCATTCTTCGTCACGACAAACGAGTTCTGTCTTAAGATGTGCAATTGGGTTGTCTCAATGCCATTCATCTTTACTGCATCCCTCAATAACCTCAAAGAATCACCATTAATGTCACACGCGTAATACTCCTTTATCTTCCCCTCGCCAACAAACTTTAGCAGAGGAAGAGTGAAGTACCCAGCACCACAGAACAAATCGACAACGTTTTCCTTGCTTACCACCATGTTGGATGGATCTAAATAGAGATTTTTTATCCTTTCCTTTTCCGTCCCATTTCCAGAGCAGAACATGCATTTTTGTAAGTCCAACTTATACACAACGTTATTTTCTATGTGTACCGTTTTGGTGTTCCTTCCGAGCACTAAGTGGATTTTATTTTTTCTCTTCACTCCTTCTATTTGTTCGTAAACAGCGATTGCTTTGATTCTTTTTCCTCGTGGGTTGGTCCTTATCCCGTATTTGCTGTAATGCAGCTCTTTCAATTGCTTCTTCATTTTGGCTAGCTGGTACAACTTTACTGCTCGCCGTCCTCTGTATGGAGGGGAGCACCAGGGGTGGTTAAGAAGACCCGCTTTTTTTTCCCTACTACAATGGGATTTCTCTCTCCCCCCAAGGGGGGATTTCCTGCCCCACCGAGCTGAAACCGACAGGCCGCGCAACACGGTGCGCCTCCTCGCCAGGCTCGAAAATTTAAGAAACGTTCCAATGTACCTCAGGCGCAGTCTTGGCTGCCTCCTGGCCACCCTCCCTCGGTGGCCGCCCCGGAATCGAAACCGGTTGAATGCGTCTCTCACGTCCAGCCAAAGCGCGTCCACAGATGAGATGAGCTCCCTATGTTTGCACTTCCTCAGCAGGGCCCTCAGGCGGGCATACCTCCCCGTCTGCATCTCCGTGCACTTCGATGCACTTCCCCAAACACACGTGCGGTACAGCCGGAGAATCGACCCCAAATGCTTATAGTGGAAAATTACAATACCCCCCACAACTTCATACTTGCCACTGGCCCTGACGATGAGCTTCCTCTCAGACTCGCTCAAGTACTTCTTCACCTTCTCATTAGCAAAATTGTAAAACAGATTTGTCAGACATCGCTTCAAGTTTGTTTTTTCCTCCCCTCCCTGGGGACTCCTATGTATGTAGAAAATTTGCCCCTCCTTTGTAAACTGTATCTTCTCAAATGGAAAAAATCGCCTGACCTGTTCATAATTTTTTAGTGTCTCTATTTTTGCCAAAACTGGTACGAAAAAGGAGTCTTGATCGTTCCCGCCACTTGTACCTTCTTTGTACACCTCAATTTTTCGACCCTTATCGAAAGCCCCTATCTGCTCCAAAGCGGTTTTCACCTCCTTCACGTAGGTTCGGTTCTTTGCAATTAGGTAGAGCAGCTCCCCTGGTGGCTTCTTCCCTGGGGAGGTCGCCATTCGGCTGTGGCGGACACTCCTGTGCGATTTTCTTTGTGGCCTCTTTTCACTCTTCTCGAGGTAAAGATACGATTTCGCCAAGTCAGGCGCCCCTCCGGCTTCTTCGTCAAGCAGGTTGTCTCCCTGGTTCTTTGCCCCATTTTCTACCCGTGTGTCTGCCGGGTTTTCTATGGCTCTGTTTTCCCATTGGCACACTGGCTTTTCCATCCCCTTATACACCCCCGTTTCTAGCCCCTTCTCTACCCCCTTTTCCACCAACACCTTCCTACAATTCGCAACAACGGGCACGTCGAAGAAGCTTCCGAAGGTAAAGACGGTGCATCCGCCTCCGACCACGTACAGGTAGTCTCCCTCATTGACAATCTTCGCCCTCACGTACATACTATGGAAGGGGAACACACCCAGCCGGTACCACTTCCTCTCCTTCATTCGAAAGAGCCACACATCGTTCAGCGTCCGATGCATGTTGAGGCCTCCCATAAGGACAAAATCGTTGTGCCCCCACGCGCATGTCCCGTGCGAGAATCGATTCAATGGGAAGCTCGCTTGGCCATCCTCCCCACTGGTTCCACAGCGAAGGTAAAAAAAGCAGTCCCTCTTCAGGTCATACGTGTGTAGGTGATCCATATAATCTTCCTCACGGGGGTGACTCGAGGGTGCACCCTCAGCACAGGAAGAGGAACACCCCCCGACGATGTGAATCAAGTTCCTCCTTTTATTATACACCATGGTGTGGTTCTTTACAAATGGGGATGGGGATTCCCCCTCTTGTTTGGCCTCTTCTAAGCGATGCTTCCTCTCCCATTTGATGAGGGGAGTTGCCCTCATGGACATATCCCCCTGAACGGTTAGCTTCCCCTCCCACAGATCATTCAGTACTTCATTCTTCTCCGTAACGCCTCCGTGCACATAGAAGAGATAAACCTCCTTCTGCTTCTTGCGGTACCTCCGGACGAATACACACGCGTGTCGGTATCTACCGCACGGACGGAAGCTGTCCTCACCATCACCGCGCTCATCCCCACGCCCATCCTCACGAGTTTTCTCACCATTACTCCGCCACTCCGCCGCGCACCAGGTATTCCTTCGCACATCATAGAGCCAAACGTCACTCGTACAACATTCAGGGCTCCTCCTACCACCGAAAACACACGCGTAGTTTCTGTCCAGCCGGAAGAAGCAATGGTACGACAGCGAGGGCAACGGCGTCTGGTAAGTCTTAAGGCTCTTCCTCCTCACGTCGAATATTTTCAACTCACGACTCCTGACTCCCTTAGCAAACCCACCGAACAGGTAAATCTTCCCCTCCTCTATAAACATATCATGCCCCCAAACGAAGAACTTGTCCAGGTCGCCCTCACTGGAAAGGAGCTTCCACTGCAGTGAGGAGTCCCCCCCCATTGGGGAAGTACCAGTCCCTATGTGTCCCTCGCTCGACAGTTCCATGTTGTATTTTTTCAAATTTATTTCTCCTTTTTCTTTTTCTTCCTTTTTTTTTTTTTTTTCTTTCATCGCTGGGTTTTTCTCCCACTGCGTGTTAGGCAGAGTAGTGGGGCTTCCTTTTCCTTCACTTTGGCCTGACCAGGGAAGGTCCTTTTTGATGGTTCCCTGAAGGGGAAGTCTTACCCGTTGATCGCCATCACAAGGGCACACCTGCGCGCACTGTGAACGTTTCTCACACTTCAGACACTGCGGACATTGCACCTGGTACAACTGGAGGGGATGCCACTTGGAATCCCCCCCCAACGTACTCTCCCTATAGCAGTGGTAAAACCCCACAAGCTGCCTCAGATTGTGGTCCATCTTTCCATTGCACACGTGAAGCAGCTTCGCTATGGAGTCCTCCTCCAGTGAAAGCGGATCCTCCACATAATGCTCAAGTCGCATAGATCCCCTAATCGCAACAGTAACGTAACGGTTAAAGTTCAGAAGTCCGCTCTGCTTCAGTCCAGCCATCTGTCCCATTTTCAGCAACCTCAGTGCACTCTCCAGGTTGACACACTTAACGTGAATAATGAACGGTTCAAATTTAAAGAAGATCCTTGTGGTCTTTTTTGGGGTCACTATGGTGAGGTCTTCATCATCTGTCCAGATTAGCGCTTCTCCGGGATTATTCCGTCGAGCTACTTTCTTCCTTCTCCTACTTGGTGCGCTCCACTGGGTAGCTACCCCCCCGGAGTTTTCCTCCCTTTCCGTACTCACAGGCGGGGGAGTTGTCGCACCACCTAAGCACTCCGTTAAAATACGCTTCACCAACTTGGAGGCTTCTCTCAGATTCTGATGCATATGGCTGGAGTAATATATCTTCACATTTTTTCTGTGTTTTCTTTTCGTCTTCTCGGGGGGGGCGCTCCTTTCCTGCACAGTAGAGTCGGACTGATGATCTGAGTAGCAACCTCTCACAGGTGGATCAGCTGGCAACCCCCCATGGTAACTCCTCTTTAAGTACGAAACGAACGCGTCTTCTTCGAAGGTCCGTTTTGTCCTACCATTGGCAGTGTCTTTCACGTCGCCCCCTTGTCCTACTTCGCCTTCCTGGTCCTCCTCGCTCGCTTCGCCAAAGACGACTATCCTCCCCGAGCAGCACGAGCTGGTGAAATAATTGGGGCTTCTATTTATCTCGTAAATACACGGAGAAATTAGCAAATCGATGCTTTTCTTAATGGACTTGTCCCTTCCATCATCATTAATGTTCTTTTCCTCCACGAAGCGTTTAACCGTTTCTTCCATCTCTCTGGGGTTGTCTCCAAAAACATCTTCCCCCTTCGCCGCAACTCCTTCTTTACACTTCTTGTATATATTCATATAAATGTTGCACACGTCCTTTTGGCAATTATCGTAAATATAGGCGTACCTGGGGAGCTCCCCGTTCATGTCGACCAGCCTTTTTGCTTCTTTCTTCCTCCTCAGAAAGGCCTCCATCGTCGTGCGCATAATGGAGTGTGTCATGTGTACGTACGTGCATATGTAGGTACATATGTGTGTGGTTGTTCGCCTGGTTGCACGGGGGGAAAACACTTCCCGCTCGTTTTTCTGCTCCCTTGAATACGATTAAGAGGTATCCGTTTATGGATTCACAAATTACTTGTTACCTTCTCCGTTTCGCCCAAATGGAGCAGTACTGCGCCGCTGTCTGGACCTATCCTATCAACAATTTTGCAGCCAGTCTGTTGTGATGTGCTTCGCACAGTCTCGCCGCTACCCTCCTTGTGGACAACGTTACACCACTGGGAGTGAATGCAATGTTGATGAGTCCTCCCTCCTCGGTGCATACACAGTGGGGGTGATGAAGCAGATCTTCTCGCCTCTCTCCCTTAAGTGGTAGGGAAGGAACTTTTGTAGGGGATTCCCTTAAACAGGAGTTCCCTCCCAGTTGGTGGCTCCTTCATGCATGGGCGGATACGTATGAGAGCATACATATGAGAATACGTACGAGCATACTCTGAAGGTAGCATAAAATTACGACTTTTTGTTTTTTATTTCTTCTTCAAACTGAGTAGTGCACCACCCTCCGTGGTGCCCACCTATGCAGAAGTGGAGAGTCACCCCGTTAAGGAGCAGATTGATGGGAAAGAAAAGCAGCAAATTGACAAAGCAGCAAATTGACAAGGCAATAAATTGACAAGGCAACAAATTGACAAGGCAACAAATTGACAAGGCAACAAATTGACAAGGCAACAAATTGACAAGGCAACAAATTGACAAAGCAACAAATTGACAAAGCAATAGATTGAAGAGGTAACAAATTAGCAAGGTAAGATAGTGAAGTCCCAAATGGGACCCCCGGAACAGTAGACCTACAATGTTTGCTCCTTTGCAATCAGACAAATGAGTGCAGTGGTGCAGAAGAGGGAAAGAGTCATATCCTGGTCATATGGAAAATGGCAGTCTAGTAAAAACAAGAAGAACGAAAAAAGAAAAGAAAGGAAGGATTGCAACATGGACGCTGGGGAGGATAGCACACCTTAAATGCAGATATGCAACGCAATCCCTGGGACAAGCACGGGTCACCGCTTCATGTTGTAAATCCACTTTGGGGGCACGTTAATGTAGTAATTTCCACTCCTTCAGCGAACGCCGTCAACGAATTGTTTTCTCGCAAATGCTCACAGCCTCCGCCGTTTTTTTTTTTTTTTTTCAACATTCACTTAAACCAGAAAACGCCTCTATCTCCTACATAGTGGAAAAAAACGCATGCGACTAATTTGTGCCGCCTTGCAGCGATGTTTCCGAGACGTTGAAGCGACCTGGTTTTGTCATTCTCTTTGTTTCCTATGCGAGAAGTGAACCAACAAGAGGGAAGGCAAAACGGACAAGATGCGAAAAATAACGTCGCGCACCTCCTTTCACAGCTAATTGGTGCCAATTTTTCGTTCAGCTTAAGGAACCCTGAGAGAAGCAACTAAGGATTGCCTTTTCTTCATCTCTCAAATTGGATGTGCTCCCTTCATTTTATTATATATGTGCTGCCATCCTATTTGACAATCAGCCAATTGTTAAAGGGATAACACTATCTGCATAAGGGATGCGTGCCCCGACGTGAAGGTATACTTTGTGTAGCCGCAAGACCTCCCCCGTTGCAGCTGGCGCGGAGCCGTGTTACTCCCCCCACTGTGCTGTACCCTGTATTATTATATTTTCGAACCAACCCTAAGGGCGGGTGGTTATGGTTCATCGGCCATGTGCCATCAGTCACGCATCACCAATGCGTATTCTTTAACCCACGACACCCGCGCATTCGCGCCACATGGTATATTATTTATATACAGATTTATACATACCCTCATACATGCATACGTTGCATCGTTCGTATCATACGTCCGAGCTGGATGGTCGCCCTGACTTGTGTTTATCAAAAAAAAGGGGGATTTTCACACAGGTCGCCTAGGTCAAAACACGGTGATGTTGATTGTGTCTCGTTTCGCCTGATAACGTAAGGTTGCTTTTTTTTTTTTTTTTTTTTTCTGCTCACGCTGTACCAATGTGGCACACAAAGTGACGCACGGACTTGCTCGAAAGGTTCAGTTCGAAATTGCAATTTGGCGCTTTCGCTTTAAGTTGGCATTCTCTATGGCAGCCGAAGCCGTAGGCGCCGTCCTCTTGCGCTTTTTCCAAACATCGTTCGGGCGGACGAAGTGGGTTGACCATCTGCCCATGAGATGCATACCTTTGCCCCTCATGCGTTCATCCATACGTGCAAAATATAGAAGCATATGTGCCATTATGTACGTACGTATGCATGTATGCATATATATATATATTTTTTTCTTTTTGAACTCACCAAAATAGCCACCTTTCATCACTTTCGCAAAATTTGCCACTCTGTCCATGTATTCATGATTTAAGGAAACAGGAAAAAAAAAAAAAAGAAATCTCCTTTTGGCGCTTTACTCCTTAAGTTGTACGCTCATGCATACCGCCCGTTTTTCTGTGATCTCTCACGCACGCGCACGTCTGTATATTCCCACTTAACCTCGGATGCACGGGGACTCTTGTTGGAAGCAACTCCTAAATGTCGCATGCCCCTTCAGCCAGCAAAATGAATTTAAGCAAAGGGGGCATTTGCGCAACCAGCAGAGCCAACAAAGACTCCGCCAGGTTTCTCATGAATTTCAAAATTAAATGACAGGGAAAAGAGAAGAAAGAAGATACAACATAAAGCAAAAAAAAAAGAAAAAGAAAAAAAGAAGTCAAAACAAGACATGCAGGCAGCTGCACAAATTTGTGCCCATATCTCCACATGGCGCCCCCTCTTTTCATGTGCCCCTCACCGCTGCTTTACTAAGATTGATGAATTTCAGACATCTCCCCTGTGCTTGTACATATCTGTTTAACTTTATACGACCCCCTGTGTACGCTCCCGAGGGCAATTCTTCAACCAGTTAAAGGAAGTCTCCCTCCGACATTTCCCCTTTTAAACACGCATGTATATGTTAAATGCCCTTTACTTTTCCTTCCTTTTTTTTTTTTTTTTTTCAAGAGGAGTTTT